TTAGGTACAACCAGGAGTTACTCCAGACAGAGGTTGTCCAAGTTGACATTCCCTTCTGTGACAAGAGCTGCATACTTTGGGGGGCTATGTCTGACAATCATCTTTCCAAACCCCAAATCATCACACCTATCCTGACTAGACATTTTTTAGGGTTTAAAATCTATTTAGCAAGGTTTTAATAAAATAAAAATAAAACTCATTTTTTAATTAAATTGAACAAATCACTTGACTTAGAAGGACTAAAATCCTACAAAACTAAGACTGCTTGAAAATCCATAGCATGAATTATTTTTATTATTTTTTAAAATAAGCTTTATTGATTTCAGAGGGAAAGGTAGGGAGAAGGAGAAAGAGAAACATCAATGATAGAGAACCATCAATTCGCTGCCTCCTGCATGCCCCCTACTGGGGATCAAGCCTGCAATCTGGGCATGTGGAATCAAACCTCAACCTCCTGGTTCATGGGTCGATGCTCAACCACTGAACCACACTGGCTGGGCTAACTGAATTTTTTAAAATGTTCTTTGGATCCTTCAGAAAACAATAAGGAAATAGTAGTGGTAGCTTCCATCCTTGAAATGTCCAAGACTGCTTTCGAGTTATCCAACTTCATTTTCTCAGTCTCAATTTAAGAGTCAAAAAGTAGACTAAAGGAAGACTTTTCACTCAGATCCACATTATTTGTCCAATCAGAAGAAGGCAATGGTAGGACATGATGTTCTCATACTATTGGAACAAGAAAAAAAATTAAACAATTTTGTAGTGATTCAGCACTTATTAAGAAGCCCAGAGTGCCATAGCCCATTTGGCTCAGTGGCTAGAGCTTCGGCCTGTGGACTGAAGTGTTCCAGGTTCAATTCTGGTCAAAAGCATATGTCCAGGTTGTGGGCTCAATCCCTAGTGGGGGGTGTGCAGGAGGCAGCCGATCAATGATTCTCTTCATCATTGATATTTCTCTCTCTCTCTCCCTTTCCCTTCCTCTTTCTGAAATCAATAAAAAAAGAAAAGAAAAGAAAAGAAGAAGATGAAGCCCAGAGCATTTTGCCCGGGCTGTCCCTGCCTCTCTTTGGAATTTAAAACCTGTGTACTACATTGTTGTGGAAATTCAACTAACACACCACACATCAGTTAGCATTTGACTCATTGCATTGTTGATTACTAAGAACACTTAACATTACCAACAAGATATCCAAGCCTTTCCAATGATCATATGAAATCTAAATGAGGAGCTTGAATTTGGTCAATATTAAACAGATGTGAAATCCCAGATATCCTTGGCAGTTTAGAAGGTAAAATTACTTAGCACAACCACTTTGGCAAGTGCTTTGAGTCTCAGAGTAATGACCAGGACCCACGAAGCAGTCATGTACGGAAAAAGTGAGGTTTAGAGTTGGCGAAAATATCCAAGCACCAGCTCTGACTCTACAACCTTGATGATCTGCTTTCACTCATCTACATGATGGGACAAATTGTACTGTCACTTTATGGATTATTTTTGTTACTTAATGAGTTTAGAGTTACTTGAAGATCAAAGTGCTAAATATTTTTATTAGTTAAAACAAGCAACTATGAACCAAATGTAAAAAGAGAAACAGCTTCAGGGAAGTATAATTTCTATAATGGATGGATTGTTTTAATAGGTAAAAGAATGACTCTCAGTTTTGTGATTCACTTATTTATTCATTTAGTAAAAAATGATAGAAGAAATCTGAGAAATGACACAATCAGATTGGCTATGTGCCTATTTGTTCTTCTATTTATTTTTAAATATATATTATTGAATTTTAAAGAGAGAGAGGAAGGAAGAGGGACAGAGAGATTAAAACATCAATGAGAGAGAAACATCATGGATTGGCTGCCTCCTGCACACCCCCTACAGGAGATAGAGCCTACAACCCAGGCATGTGCCCTGACTGGGAATCCAACTGGTGGTCTCTTGGTTCCTGGCGGGATGCTCAACCACTGAGATATACCAGCTGGGCTGTTCTTCTATTTTTTTTTAATCCTCAAACACTTCTGACTTCAAAAAAAAGGTGGGGGGGGGAGAAAAAGTAAAAAAAGAAGAAAAATACCATTCTGATTTATAACACTTTGTAGTCTGGGTATGCCTTGAACTTTGCATTGAAAAAGAAAGTATTTTTCTGATTTTCTACCAATCCCCATCCGTAGCTTACCACTTCCCAAAATACCTCTCTCTTTGAAAGCAAACAATAAATGAGGGAGAATCAGTTTATAGATGCTGAAGTCTCTCCCTCGAAGAAGCACTGGTTTAATTCAAACAGAACAACATGAATGTCTGAGAAGGGGTGAGACTTTAAGGCTTGGGCAGTAAGTGGAAGCATCAGTTCCTGAGTCTACACCTTCTCCTGTCATTGTTGGCTAGGACTCTGGCCTGTAGCTTTCCCATTTACACTGGTTAAAATACCATGTTGTTACTTCCCTCTCTTCATCTTTTGTTTTCTTCCATAAGGATAGTGGAAGATTAGAGTGTGAATGGAGTAAATGTATATTACATATATGAATAATATTCTTTTGCTAACATTGTATGCTAGTCATAGGAAAAATATTTTTCTGTGTGGTTTATATTCTGTTTTCTAAGCTCTGAAAGTCTTCTCTAAACATTTAGTCCATGGAATGCAAATTCAAAACTCATCACAGACTAAATTGGTTATAAAAATGAAAGAATCAGATTTTTTAGACATTGGGATGGTGAAGGTTGTGAGACTGGGGAGGGCCACACCCAAGTCCACTGGGTATATATAATTCTGGGGCACCCCAGTCATATCATATTGTATGTGAATGGTGCCCCCTACTGTGGAACAATGCATGCACTACCCATTCATCCACTCAGTATATCCTCCTTGAACTTGCTATGTGCCAGGCATGGTTCTAACTCTGGGAGACAACAATGGAGAAAACATACAGGAATACCTGGTCCCACAGAATCTAAAGGCATTCTCATTCATTTTTTTTTAAAGGTAAAAAGCACCATGCGAACCAAATAATGCATGTGCATGCAGAATTTGGCTCATGGACCCACCAAATAATGACCCAGCTCCAGTCTTTTAAATTATTTCTGTGATCTTGCAAATTTTAGCCACAGGGATAAAACACAGAAATGTACTAACCGAAGGTTAGCACCCACTACTTAGCTCATGTTTAATGGGAGCTCTACGTACATAGACGAGTCAGCTAATTAATTTTCAATTAAAATTCTCTATCCCCACTCCAGGGTGTATACTTGCCACTCCTTTTTCCAAGAAAACATAATTCCTAGAGGTGATCTGTTAGGTAAGTGAGGAAGGAAAACTAGAATGAGGTGGGGTCATGACATTCTGCCCAAGAATTGTCTGCCTAAATACCTGTCGGTGCTGGAGACTGATGGGACAGGTGGGCCATTGAGGAGTGGACAGAGTGGCTCTTGAATCAATTCAAAGTCTGCTCTTAAACACCCACAAATTAATTTAAAAGTTTTTTTTTTCAAGCAAAAAAGATAGATTCCCTAAAGTGTCAAGTCTCTTAGGAGTTGTGCTAACAGAAGCAGGGGAAGTGCAGAATGCAACGAGTTCTCTTATAAAGAATTTATTTCTCAACCTTATGGCATCTTAATGCCATTTGATGGAAAGTTTTAATTTAATCTGCATATAGTCAAAATGGAAGTAAAAGGAGGTCTGGTCACCTAGCTTGCTTTCATGTCTGAAATATTTTTTTGGGGGGGGGGCATTAGAAACTGGTAAAACTAAAAAGAATACTTGTATTAATTTTCAGCAAGCAGCTTTAGAGAAATGCTGTGGTGGTACTCAAAGAGTTGAAAAGTTTTCCACCTCACAACTCACTCTGAATTTTGTTAAGTAAAATCCTGATTCAAAAAATATTTAAGGAACATAGGTCACAAATCTGATGAGAGTCATACTATATAAGTATAAAGACCAAATGGAAGCATTCACATCTTCCAGAAATAGAGCAAAGGTGACCATTTCTTCCTCTTCTCTGTCTTCCAGGATCCCTTCTTTCTAACCCCTCTCCTAAATGAATAATAATAACAGTAATAATAATAATCAGAGCAGAAAGTGTTAACTTATCAAATCTACACATTGTAGTAAATTACTTTCCCCAAGGTTTGAAAGCATTTCCTAAAAACCGTCAGAGGTATTAATTTTTTTCTCTCTCTTTAAATCACAAAGCAGAATTCCACTGTCCTTCTCCCCACCCCCACACCCCCCACTTCTAAAAAAAAAAAAAAAAGTTGTCGAGTTTTGCTTTTCTATTCACTGCAGTCCTGGCCAAAGTAAAGCCCTTTTTCTCAATGACGTCAAGATCTTTACCAAGATTAGGCTTTCATTTCTCTATTGCAGCAATTAGCCAGGGAATGTATAAAAGGCTTCAGGGAGATCACTGGGCTGCAGAGAGCACTTTGCACCACAGATAGCAGAAGCAAAGCCAGAGGGAGTGAGGAGAGGAGAGGAGTCAGTCGCTCCAGGGGAAGGGAGAGAGTGAGACAGGCTGGGGGAAGGAGAACAGAAAGTGTGTGTAAAACGGAGTAAAGAAGGGGGGGTAGTGAAAAAAAAACCTACCCTTAAAGCACATTTTAAAAACTCTGGCAACTCAAGAAAGAAACAGGCTACGTATCTGAATGTAGAGACAATGAAAAGCTACAGAAAATTTTGCTGTCTCTGCCACAGTCTCATAGGTGCTTGGAAATGAAAGTGGAACTGCCTGTCTTTAACCGACTCTGAGAGGGTAACTGGATTAGGGACCGGTACGCCAGTATTTTTTTTTAGGTGTTTTTTTTTTTTTTAACATCTTAAATCCTGAAAAAAAAATGCAAGCAGCTCCGAATTGAATGAATTGATGGGCACACTCCAACTGCTGGGCTGGAGAGACTGGACTTGGTCTTGCCACTTCTGCTTCTTTGAAAGAGGAGAGATCTTGGGCTTCCTTTTATTAGTTTT